TATATTTGACATTAATTGTTTTGTTACTTGGCATTTAACTATGATTATAATCCCAAACAGTTTAACTGCATTTCATACTATTATTATTTTATGCATTCACACCTGTGATACAATTCCCTCACCGGATATAACTTCTTAAAACCTATGTATATATATATATATATGATTGACAGCTTGATAATAAATTTGTTGAAAAGAGTCTCTTAGCTGAATCCCTTGTTTTGATTTTCTATAGGTTACAATGGGAATTTTCCGTGAATTTCAGAATTAGTGAAAATCAAGTGTTATGATAAATGAGAGATAATATCATATAGCTCTCAACTCTTCATAGTTCACAGAAGTTTATCTAGATAGTGTAAAGTGTTGTTGTTATTATTATTAGGCATAGTACGAACCGATAATATCCTTCAAAGCTATCTGAATTCACCGGGCAAATTAATCTCTTTCATAGTATTTAATTTAAAGACATTATTCGATAAAAACTTCAAATTTCACATACTTCAAACTGTTGAAATCAAATTCTAACCAATAAATTATTCTGCCCGGTGAGATACAAACGAACGCTGGTGAAAATGCGAAGAGAATATGCTCACCAAACAAACTAGACAGTGAACTAATGTTTCTTGAAAAATGCTTGAAAGAAAATGCTTACCCACAAGGTTTCATTAACAAATATGGCAAGAATGAACTCAAGAAGCTTGATACTGCTACAGTTAGTAAGAAGCCTATTTTCATCAAACTCGACTACAAGGGCGACGACATTATGAGAATGATAAATAAAAGATTAAGCGCAGCCTTGTCTAAGACGTATCCTGCAGCGTTATTAGTCTCTCTATCCCGAACAACCTCTTCACTGGTGCAGTCAAAGATTGACAAGTACCCCTCACATGTTACCTCCAACTGTGTATACCAATTCACATGTATCTGCGGGAGCAGTTACATTGGAAGAACAGAGAGGAGGGCCTACGTCAGATTCTGCGAATATGTACCAAAGAGCCTCCGGTTAAAGGGACCGAATTATTTAAGCTCTTCAATCGCCAAACTCCTGATTGACATAGGACACCGAGTAGATGTGCTGGAATCATTCAAAATAATTAACAGACAAAGTACCTCAAGTCTTCTCAGGTTTGCTGAAGCTAAAGCAATAAAACGATTTAAGGCTGACTTATGTGTCCAAAAAGAATCCGTCGTTGGACTTCAATTACCCTGGTAACTGACTTCTTAGTAACTCTTTGTTTTCTTATTTTGTTAACTTATCTTTTCACTCCACCAGCCACCTTTATGTTTCGCTTGACTGTCTTAAGAGATAATTTTTCTTGATCTTCTGAGTTCTGCTCACTGTATTACATCATCAACTTCTCATCTGACCTCATGTGTACCGTAATTTAAAATTTTGATCTTCCCTTATCTAATTACTTAACTATTGCCAATTGTCTTTTCTTACCACCCTAACAACACAACTGTTAACTAATTTTTTTCAAGAAACTCCTCTCTACCAAGATATATATATATATACATGTCGTGATACTTTAGACGCCCTGTAAATCTCAATGCCTTATTTTACTATGACGCTCTGACACTATGCTTGCTAATGGACAAAGGTTTGTTAAAAAAAATTGTACACTATTTATTTTTAATAATAAAAATTCAGGTTGTACGCAGCTGATGAGAACCAACGAAATAAAATGGATCCAGATTATTCTGCGCCAGTGTTTCTTCTTTCTTTGTTCAAATAAATTATTCAACTGATATAATTATTCAGTTGATATAAATCACTTTGTGATCAATCCTGTGAGCAGTTTAAATCCCTGGAAATCAACAATTGACGATATAAGTAAACGTTTGCATTCTGTTTGTTCTCTAGACAAATTTTATACAGAACCAATTATTAATGAGCTATGCCTTTGACTAGAACTTGTTTTAAAAGGTTTTGTTTATTGATGATTAACACAGTGATAATTTTCTTCTTCAAAGTTGTACTTTACACGGATTAATTTAATCTCGGTGTAGATATGGATTTACAAACAGTACAGAGTGAGAAAGAAGTTACTGCAAAATATTCTTGTTTTTATTTTCAGTTGCTAAACAGTGATTAGTTATGTAGTAGTAAGCATCTACTGAAACAAAACTAACCATTTCATCAATGATAAATGAGATTAATTGTCAAAACTACTATTCACTCATTATTATTATTACTACTTAAAGTTTCATTTTAAATATCCCATACAATTACACTTCATAGTCAATCACTAACCATCATTGAATAGCAACACTTATTTTGCGAAATCTATTACATTTGAAGCAGCAACTCTTTAGCCAGATGAAAGATATGTTATTATTCAAGTATTGGTTTTGTAGGGATTTTGTTTCCTTGATTGGAGGATTTCATCATAAGCTGACATCAGTTAGAGAACCATTGGAAGACCTAGGAGTATTGGACAGCTGTTTCGTCAGTCTATTATGGGACTCTTCATCAATACGCACTATTATTATCTTTTTAAATGAGTTGAATGGTTTACACTAGGCACACCTATCCAGTTAGCATGGTTATTCTCAACCCATATTAAAGTTCTGTCCAAAATTGACAGTAAATAACGCGTTAGTGAACTTTACACTGTCATTCACGGAACTCTAATTTCTGACTTGTTAATAAATCAATAATTCATCACCTTGAAATGATTTTATCATTGACTACTAGGAAGGAAAATTGTTGAAAAAATCGATGAGCATTTGAAAACTATTTTGTTCCCTTTTGGGATACTTCAGACAGATGCATTGGCAAATTGTCATAGTGTCAAAGAGACCAAATCAGTAAATGTGCCATGGTGTTAGCTTTCGAAAAGGGGTATTAACTTCAATCTATTTAAGGTATAGAGCTACAGATATTAAGTATCATTGAAAACTAATCTGCTTCACATTGAACTTGGTGGAAGTTTACATTTCTATACATCATTGTCTGGTAAAAACTGCTAACTAATCATCAAACTTTCGACTTAAACTGAATCAAAAATTATATAAAACCTGGCACATTTCATTCAAACAGCTCATAGAATAAGAGCAGATGCTAGGCGATTATTTTTAAATTTAAGCCTTATGAACATTTTTAGATATTCAACTAGAAAAATTATTGTGTTTAAAAAATATACCCAAAATATGAAACTGAAAAGATTTCATTTACCAAATAATTCATAAATTCTTTCGACCTAAGAATTCAATGGAAATTTTAAAAACTTATGAAGAATTTGCCGCTAATTCTGTAATAATAAAATACTTCTAGGTCAGAACCTGTTTCAGGATCGATAAAATGTCGACGATCTGTTTCCTGGTCAGGTCGAAGGTGAATAATCCGGTTCTCTGAAAGGAAGAAGCACATATAAACTTGGCCGAGACTGAATGTCGGACCACGCCTTTATACAGCAGCTCATCTCTGAGGTGTGCATCAAGAATGGTCTAAACTTTGCTATACGTCACTTGTACTGCCTGCCAGCAACTTCTAGCTAACAGGATAATGCAGTGACGAGATTTAATTCTGTGTGAACTATAGAGTGACGTACCGAGACCTCAAGGTACGGCTCACAATTATGTTCAAGACGGCATTAGCCTCAATTCCCTTAAGAAAGAGACTCAGTACCACCTATTATTAATATGTGTCACTGAGGTTCTCAGTGCACTTATTCACCAACAACTACGCATTACTCGTATATCTTGTGTATAGGATTAAGGCTCCACAGCAGTATACAGGACGATAACCATCTCAAAACCTGCATGTTGTTATCCATAAATCTCACTAATCACAGAGTACTACACCTTGTTCAATACCACAGACTAAAAGACTTCCGATGACACCATGGTATATTCTCCATCTTTAAAATCCACGAAGTACACTGTTTCATCCCATGTTTTGGAGATGTCCACAGAAGAATTTCGACGTGGTAGTGTCAATGAAGAATCCATATAATAAAAGGTCAGCACCATCCAGAAGGGCTCCTTAAGATATTACAATATCTAGAGCCTTCTTTGAATGCGAAAATAGCATCAGGTACTTATTCATTGCAATGTACAACCTTGCACTCAAGTGCAGTAGTTCAAGGCCTAAACCAACAGTCAGACTTCTGAGATTGATGGCATGTTTTTAATCGACTACTCCCAATTCCTTCCCAAAGTAATACTGTCAGGTAACATTTCTCGACAAGGAATGCAATAGCTTGGCATACGTGACGCGTTCCGTGTGTCCAATCGACGCACCTTGACTTATGTTCCTTAACCGCCTACCACCACAACCAACCTCAATATAAATCGCCACATAATACGAATCATTCGTTTCGTAAAGGACGTGGAGGATAGGCTACCACTGTTGGTCTCACCAATCAATACCTATCAGTTCACCTGCTCCTATGTAATTATGTATGTCACCCTTAGTCAGAATGTTATCCAGACGTAACATCATATATTCGACCTCAGGGTTCCATTGGAGGAAAAAAGATCCCCACACTGCCCTCTACTGGAATACTTGATCGACTCTAGATACCGAGCGAATCCTTAGACGGACTTCAGTGATACCTGCATAACACGTGATCTTGCCAGAGCAGTACGAATCACACTTCTTCAAACCACAGGAGCAATGGAAATCCATTTACTGAATCCTGAACACTACAGACAGTTTATTCAGTCAGTGAACATTCAATGGGCCTAATTTGTTTTGATAATTGAGTTAAGCTTACGCTAAGCTTCATTTCTTTTATTATATTCCACTCTTCATTGAGTTCTATAATCCTTTACGGATGTGAAGAACACCAAGTAATTATAAGAACACTAATCACCGTGCACTCGACAGTAGGCGAGACGTTAAATACACAAATGAGTTAACTTAGATACGAATCTCTATTGGTTGAGATGTATATACACATTCATATCATCCTACTCAGGCTTAAATATAAACACAGAACCTATATATGAAATTAAGCAGGGCTACATTCTGCTAGTCTTTTATATGAAATAAACGGGTCAATAACTCAATAATTCCATTTCCTATTAAATGCAAGTTGGTCCGCCGCTGAATTACATTCCGTTTAGTAACAGCCCGGATCGGTGCACCCTCATAGTCCACACTTCCCAAAAACTTCGAATCTAAACACTTTATCTATACTACACAAATTGATCAGTGACTACGTCACTTTATTCTAATGAATTCGACAAAAAACAAACACGAGAAATTAGAGATAATGAATTATTCGATAACACAGCAATCAAAATAAGTGTAGTCTTGATAAGTCACTTTCGTAATTCTGCAAATATCATCCTTGTGAACATTCCACAGAAGACCGCATTCCAACCATAGTGAACGGCCATAAGGCAACCTGCGCCAACCGCAGGTTGGACTGGTTTGTCAGTAATCATCAAGATTGAAATCATCTTCGAAATCAACATCACCACCCGCCAAGTGGTTGAAGTCTACTTGGTAGCGCAAAATACCTGCAAAATTAAATAAAACAACCAACCATAAATGTCGATAAACTTCTCAGAAGTACTGAGATTACCACCTCACAATAAGACAGTGACCGAGTTATGAGATAACATCAACATTTTCAATCGCATTCAGTGGGAGTCAGTAAGTGAACATCTAGTTACCATTCTTAATTGCGAAGTGATCAATAACGAGAAATTTGCGAACCCACCTAGTATACTACTTGCTTGAGGACTTCAAACAAACCTTCTTCGAATCCTGTTATCACACAAGTCAAGGCACCGGGGAGTTTGTTTTCCATTACTTTCCTTTACAGCAGCTGAATTACTAAGTCAACAAATGTTTACAATAGTTATTCTCGTCTCACTAACCATTACCACTTTTATTCATCTTGGAATGCTGTAATTGTGATGACAGAGGAAAAGACACCTGCGTCGACTGGCTTTACAGCTTCGTTCTGTTTTTACCCAACACTAACTTTAACTGTGAATGTCTTTATTCTATAATTTACACAAGGGCCATAATAAGAGGTAAACACGTTAACAACTGTAAAATGACAGCTTATCGAACGACTACTTCACTAACCAGCGAAGTAGTACAGACAGTGCATTTAAGAACATAGGCATGCCAAGTTACTCGCATAGGCATTTATAACGTCCAATCTCACTAATCATCTTGAGAATAATAATCTTCCTAGTTAAGAATTTCCGTATACGTTTGGTGATGACAACGACTATACGCCGCAGTCCATATAAGTGCGTCCCTACATTGAAAAATGTTCAAACAAATGATCACTAGTACCAACAAGCATATGTGCAACACGCCGCTAAATATTGAAGCTATACATCTACTGAGTGTCTATCATCCAGTACATCAACACTACTTTTTACACAGCAAGATCGTACCTGAAAAATTCGAAAACTTTTATTTGTACGTGCATATACATATATGTATGTATGTCAATGTGCAAACAAGAAGTAGCAAACTTACCACCAATGCCCCCAAAACCACGGACAAACTGAGCTCCTTCCTGCGACTTATCCGTGACTATTTCTAACGTAGTCCCAAATGACCGATAATTGAGCGCCAGCCAGTCCAAGAGAAGTTGAGTGTCGAGGATTTCTAGGTCAGAACCTGTTTCAGGATCGATAAAATGTCGACGATCTGTTTCCTGGTCAGGTCGAAGGTGAATAACCCGGTTCTCTGAAAGGAAGAAGCACATATAAACTTGGCCGAGACTGAATGTCGGACCACGCCTTTATACAGCAGCTCATCTCTGAGGTGTGCATCAAGAATGGTCTAAACTTTGCTATACGTCACTTGTACTGCCTGCCAGCAACTTCTAGCTAACAGGATAATGCAGTGACGAGATTTAATTCTGTGTGAACTATAGAGTGACGTACCGAGACCTCAAGGTACGGCTCACAATTATGTTCAAGACGGCATTAGCCTCAATTCCCTTAAGAAAGAGACTCAGTACCACCTATTATTAATATGTGTCACTGAGGTTCTCAGTGCAGCCATACACTAGGAAATACATCAGACGTTGATTATATGGGAAGGGAAAGTGCATAGTGACTTACCTTCTGAATTGGGCATTTTGAGAACATAGCGATTGACACTTAGATTTTCCCAGACGATTAGAGTCTCAACGGCTCCCATCTCCAGAGATTTAAGTGTATCATCGACGCCGAAACAGTACTTGCCACTGTCCTGTAAAGTGTTTAAAGGGACGTAACATTACATACCTGTGAAATCTCATCAAAATATCTTTGAATTAGCTTTTTTTCTTGGATGAACTTGACGCCTGTTAATGCATCCGTTGCCAGTTCAATAGCCTGATTGAATCCTGTTTCACCGCCGTAAGAAATGTCAACTATCTTGATCAATTTCGCTTGCAGCCTCTGTAAGGTAAGTTATGATTACTTATCAGCGCACCTGGTCAAACATATCGGACTGCCCTAAATCGCTTTTGAAATCTGCTATGCCGGCCAAAATAAGTCCCTCAATATTTGGACGGTCGTTTGTAATGAAAAGCTGGGTGGCTGTCTCAGCAACCTTTCGGACATAGTTGTGCCGTTTTTCCATTCGCAGACGTGCAAAACGAAGCGCAGATTGACCTCCCCGTCCATGTTTCTTCGGCAACTCCACAGTGAACTTGTGCAGGACTTCCCGAGTGTTTCCCGACAAGGTTCCAAATAACGCACCGTTACCGTCAACGACAATAAAGCCGAACTTGCTGTCGTCCGCCAGGAGAGCTACCAGAGCCTATCCTCCGTTAATGTGAGGAATATATACAAACCTCTGTATGGAACTTATTATCACACAAGTACAGAGAAGTGTTAACCGGTCTGAAGGGCTCAAAGTCAATATTAACTTTCTTTTCCTTGCCATCCTCAGTAACTATTGTACCGCAATAAACAACAAGCCCATTTGTGGGAACTGCATACCACTCAAACGAGAGAAAGAAGTCACTTACCCTTTGTGTACAGTTTCAGTCTTTGTTGTACTGACGTTATGGCACTCAAAACAGACAGCCGATTTACTCTACTTTTGATATTGGAAGCTGTTCCGTACTCCTCAGCTAATAGTTTTGCAACTCTTGTCACCTGATCCTTCGGAGGGATGATGAGAGAAATCATACTCGTTCCATTACTACCCCGTAAAACCTGTTATTACAACTCACCCTCTGGCAGATTCCAAACTTTTGATCAGCTTTTTGATACGCCACATCTCAACATTTTTATCTGCTTGAGATATCTCCGTTCCACCGTTAGTTGACGCCATTACAATCTCAGTGAAGTAAAGCAACAAAGTACACCTCGTGGTCAAACCACAATTACGAAGTAAAACAAAGCTTGTTGCGAATATGTTCAAGTGTTCATGACAGTTAGGAAATTTCCAACCCGTATTCGCAACATCAAGCTATTGCAGAGTACTTTGAATTTCTACAGTAAAACTTCATTCAGGGGATTCACTGCACTGTGTGACTCAGATCATTTATCCAAGACTTCATGCAATAACTTGCTCTATTTATCTCATTACCTCAGATTTCAGATTTATTTCAGATTTATTGGTTGAGGATAGAAGGCTTGGAGCCTATGTTAATCCTTTTCTATTAAATTTCAGTGGTTGTCCAAACCCTTCTTAAACGAATCAATTGAGGTTGCAGACACCACTTCTTCTGGGAGTCGGTTCCAATAGTTTATGACTCGATATGAGAACCAGAACTCAACAGCAATATGATTTCTTCTTGGCTTTTGAACTCTCCTGCTATGTCCTCTAAGTTGTTCCGACCTGGTGGGAAGGAAAAGAGAGAATAGGTCAGGTTCATAGTCATTATTTAAAATTTTAAACATAGTGATTAAATCTCCTCTCTGTCTACGGTATGACAGGGAGAAGAGACTTAAACTATGTACTCTTTCCGAGAACCATACGTGTTGCCTTCCTTTGAACACTTTCTAGAATGTGTGAGTCCCCTTTCAGACAACGGCTGGCGGCCTGGATGCAGTTTTCCAGTCTTGACCTCACCAGAGATGTATACAAGGAGGTGAACATATCTCTGGTGATTCTAGTGAAGGCTCTGCGAATTGCCCACAATGACCTGAAACTACGTGCAGCCACCGCGTGACAGCGTGCTGTAGTTTCTAAGTCGTGGCTAACTATGACACCTAAGTCCAAGTGAGTCTGAACTGGTGGAAGTGTTATTCCCTGTAGTTCGTAGGAGCTCGTGCTTACTTGTCCAATGCGCATGGTTGCACATTTTGCCACATTTATCGGAGCATCTGTTCTATGGACCACTCTGACAGTTTGTTGAGGTCCCCTTGCAACGTGAACGTGTCACTGTTGCCCTTCAGCTCTCTCTGAATTTTTAAGTCATCTGCGTATAGGACCATCGGGGAGTCGGTGAGCAGAGATAACTTACTGATATACAAAATAAATAGGAGAGGTCTGAGTACCGTGCCTTGTGGCACTTCGCTGCGTACTGCTGTCCAAAAGGAGAGTTTCGAGTTGATCCTAACCCTCTGCCTCCTATCTATGAGGAATTCCCTCAGCCAGTTCAGTAAGCTGCCTTTGATACCAAGACTTTCCAACTTTATGAGTAGTCTTTTGTGAGGTACTTTATCAAAGGCTTTGCTGAAGTCTATGAAGACGACGTCAACGGGCCTTCTGTTGTCCCTGGATTTGACCCAGCTCTCTCTTGCAGTGAGAAGATTTGACAGGCATGAGAGGTTCCTTCGGAAGCCATGCTGTGCTCTTGATAATAAGCTTCTATTTTCTAGATATGCCATTATGCTTTTCTTGATGATTCTTTCCAGTGTCTTGATTAAAGTGCTGGTGAGACTGATAGACCTGTAATTTGAAGGGCTTTGTCCTGATCCTCCTTTGTGGATGGGGGTTACTATGGCGTCTTTCCAGTCACGCGGTAACACTCCATTTAGGAGAGAAAGCTTGAAGATTGTAGTCAAAGGGCAGGCTATGTGGGCTGATAGCTCCTTAAGAAGCCTTAGATGAAGATTATCAGGACCCATTGATTTCCCTGCATCTAGTTTCATTAGACATTTGGGCACGATGCCTTGGTCGATGTCAACGGAATCTATCCCATGTTCTTCTGATGCAGCCAGAGCTGATCCTATAGCCAGTGATGGCTCCTGAGTGAAGACTTGGGAGAAGTAGTTTGCCATTGCCTCTGCTTTTTCTTGATCTTCTTCGATTGTATCACTGTCAATAGTCAGGTTTGGGACACCATTGGGTGTTTTATTCCTGAACTTCATGTACAAGAAAATTTTCTTAGGTTGTGCCTTTGCATTTTCAGCCAGGTGTGCTTCGAACTTCATCCTTGATTGGCGGATTTCTGTAATAGCTTTGTTTCTAGCAGTGTTATATAATTGGCTGGTCTCAGGAGTCTCAAGTGTGGCAAACAAGTTTCAACATTTGTGTTTACGTCTGAGTAACTTACGAATCTCTCGGTTTATTAAAGGGAGGCAATGTTTCCGACCCTTTGGGACAGACCAAGGGATGAGAGGTTCAGTTACTTGGGCGTAAAGTTGTTTAAATTGGTTCCATGCGGCTTCTACTTGGGACTCTGGGTTGATGTACTAGTTTACTGAGTTGGCTGCTGAGACGATTGCATTTATATCAGCTTTCCAAACTTTTGGTCGAGATGGGGTTTTGGCACTTGCTGCCGTTGCTGTGAACTTGAAAGTGAGCACAGCATGGTCACTTCTTCCTAAAGGAGGAAGATGTTGCATGAGATCCACATCCTCGCCATGGGAGAACACTAGGTCCAGAGTTGAGGAGGATTGCTGTGAGTCATAGCCCGTGGTCTTAATGATATGTTGAACTAGGGCTAACGATATACTAGATTCCAGCAGTTTATGATCAAAGGAATTGACTGAAGATGGAGTTGTTAGGCTCGTCCAGTCAACTGTTGGGGCGTTGAAGTCTCCGACTACGAGACTTCGACATCAGATGTCAAGTACCTTGGACTGAGTATTTCCTCCGATCTTTCCTGGTCCTCTCACATCTTGCTAGTGACTAGAAAGATGTTTCGCTTAACGTTCTACCTAAGGAAGTTTAGGCAATCTGGTATAAAGCAGTCTTTACTTTCTCAGTTTGTCAATTCCTGTATTCTACCCATCCCTCTTTACTGCTCCCCATTAATCTTTCCTGGACTACTTAAGAAAGACTTTGCTTCGCTGCATAGGGCACTAAAAGCTATTAGTAGGGCAAGTGGGATTTCGTTAAACCAACTGGTTAACACAATTGTGGATAGACATATAATGTCATGTAAGAAACTAGCAAATTCTATATTGTCAGACCCCGAACACCCTCTCCATACGCAGCTCTCTCCTTGCATTTCATCTGGTAGAACTAGAAGCAACTAAAGGAGGCTATATGCCAGGACTACCAAGTATAAAAACTCCACAATACCCTATCTGGCACCTCTGTTATGTGATGAGAAAACTGTTAGGCATGACACGATCACCTTACTGCGGCACTCTAACAAATAGTTCCCATTAGCTTTTGTTCTCCTTTCTTTGTTACTATTATATTGTTGCTCATATATTCTATTACAGACTAATTTTATATATCATATCCTGTGGTGCATTGTTTAAATATGTGAATGCAATGCTGTTCTTTTTTCTTTTATTTCTCTTTTTCTTTATGTTGTTGTTGCTTTATATTTCTAAATCCTTATAAAATTTATGAGGTAATTAGATGCAATATTGTAATGAACGCTGAAAATTCCATACCTGTACCACAAATACTGTTTGGAATAAAGCCATTATTATTATTTCGAGGTCCAGGAGCCTAGCTTCTCTATTAGGAAGTCATCTGCACTGCAGTTAGGACTGCGGTACATAGCAATGAGGTCAATGT